CATCTGTGTTGGTGTCTTTGTCTATGAGACAATTCTATTGAAGTAAGCAAGAACTAATTCTTTAAATAATGATTGGTACTTATATAGTATAAAAGTACTCTATTTTTTTCTGCTACTGTCCATTTATAAGGCCTGATGGTGTGTTTATATATGAAGTTTTTTGCAAAATTGATGGTGGGTTGATATAGTTCTATTGAACTTTAAGGAGGATAAGAAAAAAATAAAGAAAAGAAAAAGTTGTTGTCTTTGGCTTTCTATTTCCCTCTTTTCATTAGTTAATGTTTCGATTATGCAGGGGCAATACCATGCACATTTAAGAAATGAAAGAAGTAAAAGTTGGGATTGCTGTAGTGTATTGGAATCTTGACGGTCACGGTCATGGACTTATTCTCAAGGATATCCATGTAGAGAATTTCAGTATATATAATTGGTGGTCATGTCTTTATTGTCGATGGTTCATCAAATTTCTCTTTTTGAAGACACTATGGTGAGTTTGACTTCGTTTTGTATAAAAGAGATGGAGAAACATTTTCTTTGCAGTTTGTTTTATAATCTATTTGTCTTTGTCACGTTAAGTACTTCGTGACTGTAGTATTCCACGAAATGCAGATTTTTTTCTTAGGAATCCTTCCTCTATAGGGTGCTTTCTACTTAAATCTGTATATATTTCTTGATGTCTTAAGCAAGTAAGTCAATTGTTTCAACTCTTTTTAATGTGGTACCTATGTTTTTGGTCCAGGAAAAGAAGAACTTCAAGTACTCCATTGGAGTAGAGATCACTATGATGAAACTTGGATAAAATGAATCAAATTTTGTAAAATAGTATGTGCCTCAATTTGGAGGAATCTGGGGCTTGCAAGGTATATGTAAATTTTGATATATGACCTATCTCTTCTTGGGCTCTAAGCTAAAATATATGTAGATTTTGATATATGGCTCATCTTTTATGGGTTTGAACTCTTGCCTATGCATTACTATTACAGGACAAGAAATCTTCTTGCTCTCATGTCGAGGTATCTGCTATTTCTATTAGTATAGAAGTACTTTACAGTGAATAAAGACCAGTTAAAAGGAACAATTCAATATTTTCTTTTGAAACAGTTCATATGTTATAGACATTCAAGCACTTGAAGAAACTACCTCTATCTTTTGAGATTCTATTAAAGGCTTCAATTTTTATTTTCCCTTTCCTTTCGTTCTACAATTAAACTTAATGTTATAGACATTCAAGCACTTGAAGAAACTATCTCTATCTTTTTAGATTCTATTAAAGGCTTGAATTTTTATTTTTCCTTTTCTTTCGTTCTACAATTGAACTTAATGAAGTAATTTCTTCACCATAGAGGCTTGCTGCTTAATTAGATAGTTGCACATTTTGTGTAAAATAAGATAGTTGTGCACTAAACAAACCAAGCTCTTCAAAAATATCTCCAGACAAAGGAACTACAGATTGAGTAGTGTATCTCTAGAGAATGCAATATTGACTCTCAGAGTTCATGCTTTTAGGGGCTTCAAGTGTCTTTTGTCTCATTTTAATTTTTATTACATAAAATTTATAGTTTATTAAATAAAATGAAGATCAATCTTAGTCATAAAGTTGCTAATAGTTTGTATTTTTCAGATGATTTCCCTAAGAATACCAAAAAAGAAGCTTTCACTGGCAATCTGCAGTGCTTTTAGGCAAGGATTTTGCATTTGATTCTTGATATAAGGTACTTGGTTGATTTAAGATCTCTAACCCTTTAGATATACAGAATATGGAATGATGAAAGAAATGTGAAATGGTTATGAATCTATTGGCTGGATGGCTCTAAGTTGAAATGTCTATAATTTATTGTTTGTACATGACCAATGTCTTCTTTTGCTTTGAATGGAGACTTGAGTTGTCTAATAGAAACTCGTTTGAGGTAATGAAGAAGAAAAAAAAACTTGAAAATATTATTTCGAGATATCAGCTGTTCTATTTTGATGAAATGTGTTCTGTTGTTATATATAAGCATAAACGTAATTATTTGATTTTTTCTATTATAATAGTAATTTGTGAGAGGAACAAGTAGGTGCAATTACAATAGCCCATTCTAAAATTTTAGGTGTTATATTGTAAGATGCTATTCAGATTACTATTTAAAGTTTGTGTGATAAAATACTAAATACTTAAGACCTGAAAATATCTGTGTTTAGATTCTCGGTGTATGGTCATTATGTATATTCTTTTACGTGCTATAATTCCCTTGAAAAGCATTTACATCAACATTTATGAATTTTTTTTTGTTTTAACAGTCTGTGCTCTTAAAGGAGAATATATAAATTTATTGGTAGAAATTGTCATACTACAATGTTCTGACCATTTTATTCTCTTTGATGCATTTCTAGGTTGTTACTATCCTTCTGTTACTGCTGGTGTTAAGACATTTTGATACAGATATCATTGGGGAGGAGTCCAGTGAGTGCTCTTTTTAAAAAAATTCTTTAGCGTGTTTTTATGGTTGCACATTCTTCTTTTCCTCTTCTATTACCATGTGCAAAAAATCTTAGGAAGATTATAGCGGTATAAGGTCAAAATACCATATGGTTATCCAAAAATAATCCTCCATTTCCTGCTTTATTCGCCTTAGTTGTGTAAAGTCTTAGTTATTGAATGAAGTGAAAAAGAAAATTCATAATCTGCAAGAGTTCTGTGTCTATTATCTCTCTTTCTACGTTGTAGTTGTAAGTGTTGAAACATAATCCTCAAGGAAATACATAGATAACTGAGGTAAGTCTCGACAAATCTTAAGGACGTGTAGCAACGTCCATTCGTTGCACCGAAGAGTATGAAACCTAAAAATTAGAACAATTATTTTTTACTTGATTCACCATCCAGTTTTCGTATATGGTGGATTTTACGGTTATGAATATTATTAGTGAAAGAAAATTAATCATAAGATAAAGCATGGAACAAGCACAAGAAATGTCATCCAGATGTCACAAATAAGCTTATATCATTAAAAGTAATCTTTATGTCAGAGTTCTTTGATATTCGAGTTGGATCAAATGGTTACCATTTTACTTTTTGTACATTAGATGTATGTATAACCTGACGTTGGTATTATCTCATTATCAAGTTACATATATATTGTATACATAGTCATTCCTGTTCATTTACAATTTTCACATCTATTGATATATTTAACCTTGAAGTTTGGTTCATTGCTTCATTACAAAGCACAACCTGAAAATAGTCGAGGTAGTACTATCAAAGAAAGTTGGTTCTTCTTTCCTCCATGCATCAGTGATGATGTGAGACTGCTCATTTGCATGAGGACTCATGATGTTGATGTTGTAATTAGAGGATGGAACATCTAGAAATGCGTTGTACTCGATTTGAATGAACTCTAAAATTATTCAATTTAAAATTATAAAGATTTGACATATCTTATGTAATTGAGTTACTGATAATTGATTACTTACTAAATAAGCGCATTGTTAATTCCTAACTTTATATAAGTGTGGTTTATTGCATTTTCTTATTATATGTTGAAAATTTTTTGGTCCTAAATGAAGTACAAAATTATGAAGTTAAAGGATACAGATTTAATAGTGAAAGAAACAGTGTGATCGGGTGCCGCACGGGCACATGCCAACTATGAGTAGAAGTCGAAAAATATCTACCCTGAGCGCATACATGCAGACGAAGAGATATAATACTGTCTTGAAGGAGTGGATATCTTGATGTAAGAGACGAGGATGATCGCTAAATTTGTATCTTGGATTAAAGTTGGTGATCTGATTGTCTTGCCTATTAGAATTACCGTAAGTTCACCCTCGACAACAGGATCTATGTCAAGGTGTGAAAAAATTTGAGTTTCTCTTTTATTAAGCATAGAATAAAAGTGTTGTGTTCTCAGGCTTTAAATTCCAGCTTCTTTCGTCTCCCTGTTGACTGCCTAATTTGTTTTCATTTTTTTAAGTAAATTGGATTTGAATTTTATATGTCAGACACTTTTTCTGAGTGCTAAACTGACTATGGTGCGTGATCATTATAGCTTTAGTTTATAGCTCACTAGCATCGGGATCTTGGAGCTCATTCAGGTGATACCATCTGTTTAGAGGCAAACGTTACCTTATAAATACTGAAATTTTTGAAGCACGCTAAATTTCAATTAACTGAGTTTTTAAAATCAAGGATAACTTATTGTTGTGGCTTTGATGAATAGGTAAGGCTGAACTGACATTATAACATATTTCTTATAAACACAGATGAGCCACATATCTCACGCTGTCCAAAAACTCTCAGATTTTGTATAACTATTGATATTAGAGAGTATGCTAAGTTATACTGGGAAGAGGTTTTGAAAGTGCATTTTGCATGTTCCCTTATGCTTTGTTGTCTCGAATAAGCCTTTTTTTCATATTATCTTAGGTACACAAAATTCAAAATTCACATGACTTGAATCTGTCGATCTTTTTGATGCATTTTCAGAACATTTCACATCTTGAACGATTGCATCTACTTCACTTACATGAAAGAATATGTTAATGTTTAAAATAACAATAATGATCTAGCAATACAGTTGGGAGAAATTTAAAGTTGGCCAAGTAGGTCTCTTTGCTTTCTTTTACCTTGAAAACTTTAAAATTTTCCTCTTTGTTATTCTTGGCCGTCACTTTGGCAAAACTTAATTGTCTTTTTCTATTTTTTCATTGAGATATGAACACTGACAATCGATCATTACTTCATAATTTATAGGGTTTTTTTGTCAAAAATTGCTAAGAAGGCTAAACATCGCACAGAAAAAGTATTCTGACAGCCAATATGTAAATGATAAAGAATGTAAATGGTTCTCCTATACATGATACAAAGAATTTGACACTTTTTACTGCCATAGATGTAAAGAGTATCATTTGCCAACCTTACAACATCGAGTGGAATTTTTGTTCCAAACGCATCAATTTTTAAATTTAATATGAAAATAAAGTTAATAAAAAAAAAAAATTCTAACTTTTACAATGTTGGGCCCGTGCTGGCACAGGCTATCCCCACCTAGTTTCTATTATATAGAGGCTATCCCCACCTAGTTTCTATTATATAGGAAGGCTAGGTCTCGACGTGTCTGTTTCACGTCAATCGTTTTTAGATCGAGGGCATATTAGATTTTTCAATTATCTACATTACGTGTTTTTCATTGTGCAACTGGGAACGACCACGTAGCATATCACATTTCTGCTTCTCTTTGTATTTTGCTTCTTTGGCCGTTCTTCAATTTCTTCTGCTCTTTCAGAAACCGGTAAATCACTATGAGATATCATCTGTGACTGAACAATAGGAGCATCGATTGGATGTTTCTCCTTTGCGGTCTGCTCTGAATCATTTAGATTAAGAGATAACCAAGTGCAGGTGGCAACCAATATGAAGAAGGAAAAATATCTTCTCTGGCTTTCCACTCTATTTTTTCACTACAAAGAAATATCCTAGGAGGGTATTTTCACGTTTTACGGCGGTCAGCAACCCCATTAATTGATATCACGGCGGTCTTCAAACCCCAAAGATGTAAGGTTCGCTGCTATCATTTATTGTGGCAATTTTTTACAGCCCGCCGTAATCATTTAACATAGGTTATTTTCCGGCGGTTTAACCCCTACAAATTAAAATTTTAATCAATGTAGCAACTTGTAAAAAAATATACAACGGGGGTTGAAATCTCCACTACACAATTATTTTGCGGCGGTTTCAACCTCCACAATATATCTTGAAAATATGGCAAATTCTATTTCGAGGCAGCTTTAACCCCCTTGGTTTGTTTATTTAGTGGCAGTTGTAACCTCCCCTATTCCTTGGTAAATCTATAAATATTCTAAAAAGAGCTCTGTTATTACAATAAATTTATTTATATTTAATAAATTTATCACTTGGTAAGAGTACAGTATGAATTCGACTCACTTCCAAGAAGAACACTACAAATATGATATATGATGATTCTGCATGAACAACAGGTGATGCTTTGTGCATCGGGCTACCTTATGCCATTGGATTACTATTGCAATTTTGTTATTCTGAGCTTCAGAATTATACATGTGTGTTGTGTTGAATGGGTAATAAGTGTGTAATCGACAAACATATCATGTCTTATGTGTTTGATAATTTGCTGGATCTATTAATTTTATTACAAGTCACTCATATCTTCGGAGGCATGTGGACTTGTACTCTTTTGTTGAGCATCTATAGGATTTATGACATTTGGAATACTGTTTATTTTAAAATTGTTGTATAGAGTTGAAGATCTAACGGATCATGAACTTTCACTTTCATAATTGAGGTAGAGAGTGTATGATGATAATATTTTGGCAGTGCCATTGATGTGGTACTTACTGATGGTATGAGAAAGACAATAATTTGTTCTAATCAATAATTTGTTTTAATGTTTTGATGGATCTTTAGTGCTTTATTGATAGTATATATCCATTTTAAACACATTTCCGTGCGGATTAAAATAGGTGCAAATCAGAGCTTTTCAAACTCTAGCATATATCTACTTCAGATTGAATTTTTTATTTTAAAAATTGATTTTTAGGTCACAGTTGAAGAGGAACGGAGCAGATTTCATAGGGCATTTAGCCATTTACTCATGGTGTTTTCGCCAAATGCTGCAATACAGTTGGTTCTAAAGTCTAATAGGTTAGAGTGTAACATCCGCTTTATCGTTCTGCTTCATTTCAGTGATATTTTTACTGATAATTTTTTTTGACCTACTTATATCAAAGCAGAGGCGGATCTAGGATTTTTAGTTTATGGGTTCCTACATTGATTTTAAATTAATATATTATAATAACCAGATTAAAGAACTGGGTTCCCAACTAAATATTCTTATACATTGAATGATTTTCTTAATACAAATACGGGATCTAGCCAAAAGCTACTGGGTTCCCAGGAACCATACTCACACCTTTAGATCCTCCCCTGTATCAAAGCTTTGTCTGTATGATCTACGACAATACTGTAGGATAGATCTCACAGTTATTTACATTGTCTAGAAATAACTAAAATCAAATAACAGTATCTTCATGACTTTTTTGGATGATAATGAGAAAGTTGTAGGGCTCTTCCTTTCACTTTCTTCATGGTTATAAAGAATATAAATATAATACATTATTTTTCTTCTCAGTTACGCTGAGAGAATACAGTCAATTCTCTGATAAAATATTAGTATTTGACTTGAGAAATATGTAAGAATGGCAATGCTCTGTTCATCTCAAAATATGATTTGTTATCAGTTAAATTACTCTTGCAAAAATAAGCGGGAGTTTTTTCTTTGAGAGAGATTTCCTGAAAGAATGTCTATTTACTATTTAATCACACGATCTCCATTATATATACATGATATTCTCATATATGTAGATTCATTCCCTCTATGTTTAACCTGAGTTCTTGGTTCTCTCATCTTCAGCTCGTGACTTGATGAACTCTTCAATAGAAAAGCATGTCAATAGGGAAAGTGTAGTGCTTCTTCTCATTCTGAGGATGCGTTGCGTGTTTGGATTTTGTGAAATCATGAGCAAGAATAATTTGTTTTTGATGTGACTTAAGTAGATTGTGAATAAATGATAGGTTCTTTAAGCTAAAAGTGTATGAACAGGCATCAAATTCCTAGTATGTTCTTTCTTAGATTTGTTTGTACTGCTTGCATACTCTACTCTTTGAAGGATCTTCTTGTGCACTTTCTGTTAGATTAATCCCTTGTTAGCCTTAAAGCTTATTCTGAAAACTTGAAGTAAAGCCGTGAATCTATAAAAACTCTACTAGTATGTACTCTGCCCCAAAAAGTTGCTTGTTCTATGTGTATACTAGAGCATAATTATTGATGAATTCATGTGCTTATCTGCATTAGTAGAAAATATGCCTATAGGATATGAGCGCAACTACTTGTCAACTTAATCCAATGGATGATGTTTACATTTAAGCCTTATGCCTATGTATCCCTGTTGATGTTGGATTCTTTGGCAAAATGAGTAGTGCTTCATCCAACTTGTAATAGAAGCAGGCTTATAGGTGCTTGTATGAAATCTTACATTGTTATTGATTAGAAATCATGTCTATAGGTTCAAGTGCACTGTTCCTAAACCTATTCCTTAAAGTATTTCCTGGTTTGAATAACTAATCCAACTCTAGGATTGATGGAGCATGAAAACCTATTCTATCTCCTTTTACAAATTTTGAAAAGTAACAAGCATGCCTTTAGATGTCTATGAGAAGCCTATGTTTAAGTTAACTTCTCATAGAAAACTTGCCTATTGGACTCTTGTGAATTATTGAGATTCAGTTTGTATTACATGTGAAAATCTAAATCTGTGGCTAGCAATCTTCCTATTTGCAATAACAATTAGAAGTCATGCTTATAAGATGTCCCTTCCTGTTATGAAACATGCTCCTAATTACTATATATCGCTAACCTGTTTGCATTCTGATTGTGTATAACTTGGCTAGTTTTAAGACTAAACGACATGCCTATAAATCTCTCTTTATTCTCTCCCTCTTGTCACTGTCTGGTTAGTTTTAAAAGAGAACAAAAATTATACCTATAAACTCTTATACACACATATCTACTATTATGATTTCTATCTTTAAGCCAAACTCATGCATTGCATCTTGAAGACCTGCCTATAGGATTTTAATCAGCATATAGTTGAGTGTTCAATTTCGTTCAATGAATGAGAAGTCATAGCAATATGATTTCGTAAAAATTGCACGGGCACCCTATTTGGTCGCCACCATTTAATCTATACCCATTTTTTAAAAATGTTTTAACTTGTACCCACTTTTTAAACAACTTCAGCCCCCTTTCTCCTCCTCCTTCGTTTTCTTCTTCTTTCTTCTGCTGCTGTTGGTGCTGCTATGAAACTTCAGTTCATCGGATGATAGCCATAAGTATGTTTATCAGATTATTTAAAAATAAATTATAAATAATTACGTAAATTAGTAGACAATAATTTGTGAATATTTCCACGTACCGGAAGTTTAAGATCACACTTAGTGATTCTTTTCATGATAATTTTGTTCTTTTTACGTTTATTGTTTCCAAAATTTATGATTTAGATACTGTTGGCAATCTGATTATTTATCTAGTATGTTAGAAAGCTTTTCAAATGAACTAAATAACTTCAGCATCTTCTGCTGAAGTTTTTGAAAAAGCTTTATGACAAAACTAATGAATCCACGACAAAAAACTTTAGCTTATTTAGTGCTGATGTTTTTACAAATGAACTAAATAACTTCAGCATCTTCTGCTGAAGTTTTCGAAAAAGCTTATCCGGGACAAAAATACTTCAGCTTATTTAGTGCTGAAGCTTTTATAAATGAACTAGATAACTTCAGCTTCTTCTGCTGAAGTTTTTGAAAAAGCTTAATGACAAAACTAATGAATCCAGGACAATTTTTTTTTAGCTTATTTAGTGTAATTACAAACAAAAACTTCAGCAAATAGAGAACAAAACTTCAGCTACTATGCTTAAGTACAGCAATTACAAACAAAAAATTCAGCAAATAGAGAACAAAACTTCAGCTACTATGCTTAAGTTCAACAATTACAAACAAAAGCTTCAGTACACTTGGTTTAGCACACTTGCTACTTCAGGCCCGTCTACTAGAATGCTGAAGTTTTGCGTGATTGCCTTTGCTAGTTCAGCCCCGTATGCTGAAGTTACGCGAAAAAGTGGGTACACTTGCAATTATTTTTGCAAAGCGGGCATAACTTAAAACGTGACCCAAAAAGCGGGTATAGATGCAAATCCCCCTATGATTTTTGGGTTAAGCCTGGGTTGTTGAGGCCAAGATTGGCATTGGGCTTGAGGTCGGATGTCCCTCGTCTTGTGCATCCATGGGTTGCTGGAGTTTGGTTTGGTTTCAAGTCTAAAATTCTAAGGCTGCTGTAGGGCGAAATTCAAAAATAGCCAGACTTACAAGTTTCAAAAGTAATCGAAATTTAACCACTTTTCATGTAAAGATAAATCTGAACGAAAGCACTGTTCAAAATTCGGAAAATACTCTAGCATAATATACTGGAGTTCCCGAATAAGTATAATGGAGTTCCAGTATAATATACCGATCCAGCATAATATGCTGGAAATTCATACACAGGTCTCCAATCTCCAGTATATTATGCTGGAACTTTCCACGTGTTGGAGTTCCAGCATAATATGCTGGAAGTTCATACACAAGTGCACCGATCTCCAGTATATTATGCTGGAACTTTCCGTGTTGCAGTAAAATAATGACCATTTTTCAGTGACTTTGTAAATGCTGGCTATTTTTGAATGACGAGTCCGCAAACTGATTAGCTCGTGCTATTTTTACGAAGTTGTAGGATCTGAAAAGGTAGTTGGTTTATTATTATTCATTTGTAGGACTTTATTTATGCCTTTTATATTATAACTTAGAAAGCAGATCTATAGGACCTAATACTACTTCAACCTGATTTAATTATAAATCACGCCTATAGGAATTGTGTTATATAATTTGTATGCTACTATGTTCATGTGTTAGAAACTGTCTATAAGACTATAATTCATCTAGTTTATTATTATGGATCTGTGCACTGATTCTTATAAGCAATCTAACCACCTGGAGAGCATGTTTATATGATTTGTAAGCTTAAGATAATCTGTCCAATTCGTCTTTTATTCGGCACTCGTCGATTGATTCAGAATTTTAGTTCTCCTACCTAGATATCAAGCCCATAGATTTTAAATTTCTTCCCTTGCATGTTATAATAACAACCTGGTGATCCGATCATTTAGAAAAATTGCCTATAAAACTAATTAGTAAGAGGTAATTAGTACGTTTGCCCTAATCAGTATCATAATAATCTCCTTATGTCCTACTAGTAATAATCTGCATATGTGTTTGGTGTGTCATTGTCTTGGAGGTGAGAGGACTCAAGGATAAAACACGACTCAGACCTCGATAAATTTGATCTTCATTAGCTTTGACGTCCGCAAATTGATTAACTTGAGCCTTTATTTGGTTATGTGCTCTTTGCTAAAGTCTTATATGCTTTCATTACTTTTTGCTTAGGTAATCAAAGAACATAAATTTTGCTTTTTATGAGTCTAGAACTTCTCCTTAAGCAGTGTCCAAAGTTTCCTGGACTATAGAAAGAGACAGGTCTATTGATTAAGATGTGATTTATGATTAGTTAATTTTTTCTTTTCACTTTTTTTTTTATTCCCCTCCCCTTTGATTCCCTTTGTTGAAGCTATTTTTTTTCCTTTGGGGACTCGAGCCCACGACCCTGGGTTGTAGGTGGGGGTGCTGGCCATCTGAGAAACCCCCTCTTATCTAGAATTAGTTAGTATGTTCTTAGGTAAAACAACTTAAAGATAGTAATGAGGGTAGCAAAGACGATACACAAATTGCCCGAATAGCCATTGCACTTTGGTTATAAAAGTCTTAGCAGACTTTGCGGGGAGTTAATCCATTAGTCTTAAAAACTTACTTCCCTCTTAATTATTAATTTAAAACTAATTTCGTTTAGCACCATTATAAGACAAATACATATTAAATATCTCTTGTTATGAACGATTATGTGTTAATTGAAATTGTGTTTCCTTTTCCATTTCTTTTCTTAATTGGTTTATTGATTGGTAAATTTTGATAATTTAGGTTAATTAACCAGTAGTAATTAATTCGCATGTCACTTAGCTAGTTTAACTGATAGCTCACCAATCTCACTTACTTTAAGATCTGGACGGGAACTACAGTTGTAGATCTCGAAGAGTGCTTAACACCTTC